TGTTTGTTTTTTAACATTTTCAAGTTCCTTTAGTCTTTGAATTCAGAAATCACAGAAGCACCGTATCTTGAGTACTTACTTAAAAACATTTGTTTCCTTATAAATCCTACTTTATCTTTCTGTATGTGTTTTTCAGCCAAGAAAAACTTTGAAAAATTGATCTTTGATTAAAGCTCTGGTTTTTATGTTTAGTTAGTTAGTTTGTTTTTTGTTTTATTTCATTTTCTTATGAAAACCCCATTCCTAGTAGATAGGACCTTCTGGTTTATATTCTTCTATTTTCCTGCTGAGTCCTGTCTCCTAAGGTGTTTGAGATAGGTCTATCAGAGGTTCATGTCAGTACTTGACAGAATCTTTAGCCCTAAATAAAAAGATGTTTGTTTGTTTGTTTTTAGTTTAAATGTACTCTCATTTTACTTTGCTAGTTCGGAGACTCAACAGCTTAGGGAATCTTTTGAGGTGAGAGTTAGAATTGGAGGCAGACTTAGCCAGGAATGTGTTTTGTTTCCTATCCTTATTAGGGACAGCAATCAAGGCTAGCTGCCTCAGCCTCCCCGTTCTTTGGCAGGCTCACTGTCCACTGAGTATGAGTGACTAGTAAGCCCTTCATGCCAACCTCCTGTCCTGTACTGCTTCTGAAACTGAGAACACTTACTAAGGCTGCTAATAGGATCCAAAGACCATCCTCAGCTAACCGTGCAGATGGGTCTGCTGATTTCCTTAGTATATTTCTCTTTTGTACTCCTGGTATGGTGCTGTAGGATCAACACTGGACTTCAAACCACAAGGTCGGCAGTTCAAACCCACCAGCCGCTCCCTGGAAACCCTATACAGAGTCGCTATGAGTCTGAACCAACTCAGCGGCACTTAACAACAACAACATTTCTCTTTTAAATGCTGGTGATTTACAAGTCTTCTATCTAATCTCATTTGTTCTTTACCTTGTTGAAATTTCTGGAAATTTTTTTTGTATGTTGGCCCTCTTGACTACTTTTTAAGGTTGATGCATACATTTTTTCATTCTCTATTGCTGGTAATTTTTGTATGGATTTAGAACGGAGTAATTTGCACCTTATCACGAAGTCAGCCTATTCTCTTCTATGAATACAAGACAAAGAATATTTTGAGGTCAGGAGAATGGACACAGATTGCCTAAGGCATTAGGAAATGGAAACTTAACAATAATCTTAAGGATTCTGCTAGAATTTTTCTCTGTTGCTGTCTTATCATGATTAAAGTAAATGAATAACAACAATAGCAAAAGTATAACAATCACCTTTCTTAAAAACTAATATATTAGTTTGATTTACTCTTTACATCAACCTTGGAAATTTGGTAGTTGCCTTTCCATTTTATAGATGGCACTCAGAGAAGTCACCTGGTGTTGTATAATGAATATATATGAAGCGGAACTCAAACTCAAATTTGTCTTTAAGTATGGTCCCGTTCCACCTATACTTATGGATGTAGTAGCTTAAAACATCAACTGAGAGGGAAGGAGTCTTCTCATCAAGATCAATCCTATCCCCTCTGTATACAGGGTTAATAGGGATGGGCAACTTAAACATTGGCTACCTAAAATGGGGCAGGGCAGGAGTTGGGGTGGGGTTATAAAGGCACAAAGTGACTGGCTTAGAAGTTTTCAAGAGGGGAGTTTAGTTTCAGAGTGTGCAGGGGAAGGTAGAATCCCCACTGAATAGTTTTCATCTTTTCTTGATGGATCGGGTGAAAGGAGATGGGGGGCAAGATTCTTGATGGATCGGGTGAAAGGAGATGGGGGACAAGATTCTTATGATTCAATAGTGAGTAATTGTTATTCATGACTAATTGCTACTGTCACAACTGTAAAGGTAGAAGTTTTGTAACAAAAAGGGGGGAGTAGTTGATCTTACAGTCAAGGAACAAAGCACCCTAGGACCATCAAGGGAGAAGAGAATGAGCAGAATGTGGTGGAACCCTATTCAGAGAAGCAGGGATACCAGAGATGGAGGCAGAGATGAGGACATGGAAAGAGAGAGCAGCTGAGGGCGCTAGACTCATGGAAAGAGAAAGGCTGTGTGCTGGAGGCCAGGATTGTGCCAGGATTGCTTGTATAAATGATTATATATTCCTAAGTGTTCTTGTGTACACCCCACAAACAAACAAACAAAACAAAACAGAGGGAATAGAAGCAAATACTGTTGATTGATGATGCATGGAGGAGATTGCAATCATTGCAATGAAATGATGAGTGTAAAACCGATGTTATCCCATGTAAACCAATGTTCTCCCATCACTCAATTCACCATAAAAACTTAAAAAAAAAAGGATGGTCCAGGATCCAAATCTCCATGATCCCCAAAGTGTTGCCAATTACAGAACTTTGGTCATCAGTATTCATTTTACTGTGCCAATATACTAAATCCTTCCCTGTGTGGATAAAGTTCATGTAATTATGGTAAGGGTTTTTGTTTTTTAGTTTTTATAAGTTCAGTTTGATAACAAAGTATACATATTTCACATTGCTTCAACATTCTCACTATCTCTCCTCACATTGTTTTGCGATAGTTAACTTAAAACTCTCTGGCTCTTAAAGTTCTGTTTTAGGATTATTGTTGTTAATTTGATATCATATAGATAATTCACAAGCCCAATGCTCAACTGTTATTTAGTTAAAAAGCAACTTCAGGAGAACATTTCAGGGTCAAAAAATGTTTTCCAGGTAATAGATTTAACTTTTCGCTGATCTCAATGTATCCAGTCAATCTGGGTTCCATCATAACGGAAAGTTCTAGACCCTGTTTTTCCTGGTTTTGATAAGGATCCATGCATTGAGGATCCTCAGGTCTTGATGCGATGTTATGGGATAAGCACTTTGCTAACCACAAAGTCTGTAGTTAAAATACACCTGCCTCTCTATACAGAGAAAAAACCTTGTACAGGTTTGCTATGAGTTGGAGCCAGCTCTATAGCACTTAATAACAACAAGAATTGGATTCTTGATCAAAACATTCAGCAATGGTAGCTGCACCATCCATTTTGTCTTGCCTCATGGCTGCTTCTTCCTTAGTTACTCCAGATGAATAAAGACCAATAGTTTCTTGCGGGGAGAGGTGAAGAGGCTGCTTGAACGATTTTAAGACCCTAGGCACTACTCACAGAACAAGGAGGTAGGAACGAATCAAAAGACAGTATTGGGGTAATTGCCTGAATGTTGTGGTTGTTAAGTGCCATAGGGTTTCCGAGAAGGGGCTGGTGGGAAAACTGCAACTTTGTGATTAGCAGCCCAGTGCTTACCCTACAATGTCATGCCAGGACTCCGACTGCCTGGATAAACCCATAAAACAATGACCCTAAAACTTGGAACCAAGACAACATCTTGTACCTAAGTATTATCAATAGCTGTTGCCTTTTTAATTTTTTTGGCTGCCTTTTTCCTTTAAATAATAAAGATATATATATATATATATATATATATCTCACTGTTTTTGCCCACTTACTCCCCCTTTTGTTTTTCTAGTGTACAGTTTAGTGATGGCCGTTACAGTGATTAAGTTGTATAACCATTACCTTTAAAGCAAACTAATCTCACTGCCACTGAGTCTGTTCCGACTCATATTGACTCTATTTAGGGTTTCTGAGACTATAAATCTTTACAGGAACACACAGCTTCATCTCTTTCCCGCAGAGCAGCTGGTGAGTTTGGACTGTCAACCTTTCAGTTTGAAGTCCAGTGCTTATCCTATAGCACTCTGGTAACGTAGTGGTTACGAATCAGGCTGCGAACCTCAGGGTTAGCAGTTTGAAACTACCAGCTGTTCCGTGGGAGAAAGATGAGGCTTTCTGCGCCCGTCAAGATTTACAGCCTTGGAAACCCTATACAGGGTCGCTATGAGTCGGAACCGACTCCACGGCACGTAACAACAACAACAACATATTGTTGTTAAGTGCCATCAAGCTGGTTTTTTACTCATTGTGACCCTGTATACAGTTTCTGAGAAGCAGCTGGTGGGTTTGAACCACTGACCTTGTGGTTCACAGTCCAGTGCTTATCCTATAGTGCCACAGCAGGAGTCCAACTGTTACCAATAGTTGATGCCAATTTTCCAATCAACATAGACAAAATTCATTATTTCCCTTTCCTGCCCTGCCCTTAGTAACCACTAGCAATCATTGGTTTCTACGGCCTTACCTATTCTTTTTATTATTGTTATTTATCTGTTCTTGTCATTTCATATAAGTGAAATCATACAGTATTTGCCATTCTGTGTTTGGTGTATTTTGTTCAGTATGTCTTTGAGGTTAATCCTCGTATCAAGAGAGACGAGCATGTTTTGTTATTTCTCTTGTGTTGGCAAGAACTTTAGACTAGTATTGGGAAGATCTTGTTTTCAGTTCCTTAACCATTACCATTATCTTCTCCTCTTTTTAAACTAGAGTGTTTGTTTGTTTGTGGGTTTGTTGTTGTTTTCTCTTAGTAGGGATACTTCTGCTCTTACAAAATGGCTTATATCCTTATATTCCTTATGTAGCTCTCTGTGATGATTTTGATACTACAAATCTCCATGCCTGTCTTGGTGCATTCTTTTCCATTGCTACTGCTGAACACAGTGTTATGAAAACAGCAGAATTTGAAGAGGTGTTTGGTGATATTGCTGCTTGGATTTGCTTTAGAATTTGCAATTAGAATAACAACAAGTTTTAAAGTAGAATAAAAGCAACATAATTGATAATCTGGGTACAATAGAAAATATAAAAGGCAGGTAGATGTGTAAGGGTTGTTTGATGCTTGGTTGGTGAGAACATTTTTGTTCTTGCTTCACAAGTTTTTGTTGAGCTTATCCCTTTGAGAAGTATCGGTCTATCTACTCCATAATTAGATTTGTATTTTCCTTGTAGTCATATGGTAATTAGTAAGAACATTCAATAAAACAGTAAAATGTGCCACTAATAATTTTAGGATTTTTTTTTTTTTCCTCCTCATCTTCTAGCTGAATCATATCTTTTTTTTTTCCTCATAGGTTAAGATCTTTGGTCAAACAATTAGAGAGAGGGGAGGCATCAGTGGTAGATCTTAAGAAGAATTTGGAATATGCAGCCACGGTTCTTGAATCTGTCTACATTGATGAAACCAGGTAAGCTAAAGATAAGAGAGAGCTAGTCCAGTGATGGTAAAGTTTCTGTTAAATGGCTTTTCTGAAATTGTCCCACAATGCAGGCATGAGGTACGATTCAAATGACTTCATTAGTTTCCACAAATAAACTGGATACGTTTAGACAAGTCACTTAGTCTATATACCTCCTCACCTACCAAAGGAGACACGTGAAATAATTTAAGAGAACAAGTTATTTGGTTTTAATCTGGTGATATATTTTTTTTATCACACTAGTGGTTTTATTGTTATTACTTTATAATGTTAGCTTAGCCTAAAAATTATATTCACATTTAAATTTTCAATGTCCATCAGTAAATAGAGACTCCTGAAGTGACTTCCCTAAGCACTAATATTGCTCCTTTAAAGGAGCTCTGGTAACATAATGGTTATCAATTGGGCTGCGAACCTCAAGGTCAGCAGTTCAAAACTACCAGCTGTTCCATGGGAGAAAGATGAGGCTTTCTGCTCCTGTAAAGATTTACAGCCTCGGAAATGCTGTACAGGGTCGCTATGAGTCGGAACTGACTCCACGGCACATAACCACCACCAATCTTCTATATTTTATTGATTCTTAGTAAATACTTCACACTTGAATTATCCAAAAGCATTAAAACAATTGCAGTTACTAAATGTATTTAAAGGAACAATTGATTTTCTTCAGAAAAAAATGTTAGGATGGTGACTATCAAAGGCTTTATATTTTGTAATTCAGACTGTCAATGGTTTTAACTTCCTACATTTTTTTAACAAATGCCGATATGAAAATATTTCACCATAACATAAGGATTGTATAGTCTATTTGTTGGTGACATGCCTGGCTTTAATTTAAGGAGATTTGATACCATAATATGTTTCAGATAAGTGTTCTTTGTTTCCCCTCAATTAATTTGCCTAAAGGAAAATAAAACAAATCTCTTGACAGTTAGACTTGCTTCTACTATATGGAGTTCTGGTGTGGCGCTGTGGGTTAATGTGCCAGACTGCAAATCCGTTTGAACTGCAAGGTCAATTGTTCAAGCTCACCAGCTGCTCCTCGGAAACCCTATACAGGGTCTCCGTGGGTCAGAACCAACTCAGTGGCACTTAACAACAACAATATAAATATGGAGTTCTGGCACTGTGGGTTAATGTGCTGGTCTGCAAAGTTGGTTTGAACTGCAAGGTTGGTGGTTCAAGTTCACCAGCTGCTCCTCAGAAACCCTATACAGAGTATCCATGGGTCAGAACCAACTCAATGGCACTTAACAACAACAACATTAACATAAAATATAATCTTACGCTTTTAACTTATTATTATTTATTTATGTTTATATTATTATGTGGTCTTCTCTCTACACAGATTTGAAAACTCAGCTAAGCAAGTTTGAAAACTCAGATGACTAAAATCTTTATGCTCAAATGAGAAACTCCATTATTTTATAAATTTTGTTTGAATTTTAATGTTCAAATGTCTGTAGCATCTCTTCGAACCAGAAGGAATAGTGATTGGCACCCCTTAGGGTCCACAATGCAGAGGAATAGGTAGCTGATTTGGGTTAATTCTTTGCAGGTTTTAAATGCCCTTTCTTTTTTGTTTGTTTTTGGGGGGACAGAATCATGCCAAGTGGTCCAGTTATAAAAAGATAGATTGAATGGCAACTAAGCCTTTCTGTGAATGCATTTTAAAATGGTAGGCTTAAGTTCTACTCAAATTCCATAAATCTTCTGGGAGTAAAGATAGTGTGTGTTGCTGAGTGCAGCATCCGTGGACCCTGACATAGGATGCATCTGATTTTGTTTCTCTCTCCTCTGGTAAAGAGAACTGACCCAAAACACAAACAATGGTTACCTTCACAGGTCTTACCAAAAAGGTGCTGCAAAAAGTTAGAATAACTTGGTTTCTTCTGCTGCTTTGTATTCAGGTGGCATGCAGAGACAGGACAGCTGTTTTGAACAGACAACTCAGGACCTCAGATTTCATCTCAGTGTCCTGGTTATGTTTCTTGCATTTAGGCGACTCCTGGATACCGAAGATGAGCTCAGTGACATCCAGTCAGATGCTGTGCCATCTGAGGTCCGAGATTGGCTGGCTTCCACCTTCACACGGCAGATGGGGATGATGCTCAGAAGGAGTGAGGAGAAACCTCGGTTCAAGAGCATCGTCCATGCAGTGCAGGCTGGGATATTTGTGGAGAGGTAAAGATGGTCACCATTCTGTGATCAAAGCAGCACATGGAACATCCATTTCCTGTAGCTGGAAATCCTATCTAATAGGATTTTGATATATTTTAAAAACTGAAAGTTCTGGGTTAAAAGGGAAAAGTAGTCTTGAATGAGACATGGCAAAAATGTATCTATTTTAACATCTGTTGTACCATTAAGACAAGTTTCGGCCTTTGCTTGGAATTCTTTTTATGAAGTAGAGTGGTTTAGTTTGAATTCGCTCTATATTTTTCAGGAAGGACATCATCTAATTTGTCATTGACAATCAAGTATGTGCATGAAGGCTACATTTGGAGCAAGTCAAGGGTGCTTTTGGATGGCTGACCCAGGAAGGGCAGTTTATTTGCAGGGATTTGAGCTTGTTAGCCATTTTACTCTGTGATATTGAATTGCCTTCCTCTTTTCCCAGAAATTAGGAATTCACAGCGAGCTAAGCTGTTAGCTCCAAGGCCTATCCATGGTTCAAACCCACTAGCTGCTCTGCAGGAGAAAGATGAGTCTGTCTGCACCCTTAAAGACGGACGGACAGTCTCAGAAATCATAGGAAGCAGTTCTACTCTGTGCTATACGGTCGCTATGAGTTAGAATTGACTTGATGGAAATAGGTTGGTAGGTTTTCCCCAGAAATAGATTCCAGAAACTTTTATTATTCCTATACTTCCTGTTGCTGAATTGCACATTTATAAATTCCATGTTGGGTTCAAAATTCACCAAAGCCATTTCACTTTATTGTTTTGACAGTTCTAAAGAACATGAGCTTCTTAAATGGGGCTGTTCATATGAGTTCTTCATTCAGATTAAAGTACCATATTTCACACCGTCCAAACTATACCATAATGTGCTTCTGATAGAAGTGACCTGCTTTCATTTAATTTCTATCTCTGAACACATGGACTAAATTGTGTTTGTTTCCAGTTGTTCATGTATTTGAGGGTACTTTAATTTCTCTTAAATTTAGCACTTAGTCCTCTGAGTGACTATGGCAAAGGTCATAGAAGAAATTTCTAATTCCATGAATCATGGGAGGACATGACTTTTAAGTTATTTGGTGAAAGATTTTAGGCTGCTAACCCTTTTTTGTAAGAAATTACAATGTATTTTTCCCTTCTGACTTTGCCAGAATGTATAGACGGACATCAAACATGGTTGGACTAAGCTACCCACCAGCTGTGATTGAAGCATTGAAGGTAATACTAATAAAAAATTTTTTTAAATATTTTAAATTGTGCATGATGTCCTATGAAAGGTAAGGTTACATTTGTTATTTAAAAAGATAAAATAGTTATTTTATTTTTAAAAACTGTTGTTTTTTTAAACTTTTTATTATGAATTGAGTAGAGGTTTACAGAGCAGCTTATCAGTTTTACATTCAACAAATCACCCACTTCATTTCATTTCACTGATTGCAATTCCTTTAATATGCCATCTCTTATCCTACTTCCGTCCTGTGTTTCCTATTTGTGCTCCTCCTTCTTTCTGTCCTTTTTGATCTTGAATGGTTAACAAGTCTACGGTGTTGAATTGCCCCTATATACCCTATATCATTACTAAAGCCATTGTTTTGTTGGTATTGGGTTTTTTTTGTTTGTTTGTTTGTTTTCTTTTTGAAACCTGAAAAATATACTGATACTTTCAGAGGGCAACTTAAATGATTTGTTCATGGAATCAGGGGTGAGAAGAAGGTGTGCTTTTTAGTTAATTCAATGTTAGGACAGAGCCCTTTGATAGTGTTATTTAATTATCTTTTCACTGATCTTTGTTCCATTTTATAACATACTCTCTAGCTGAATTCATGAGGGGCCTTCAAAAAGTTTGTAGAAGAACTCCATTACCTTTTTTTTTCCCCTGTTTAATTGTGAATGATATCTCAGTCTCCATTAGTTCAAGCTCACCAGCTGCTCCTCGGAAACCTTATACAGGTTTGTTTACAACTGAAACTCTGGGAATTCAAAATCAACATCCTTGCCTGTAAGCTTCTTATACACACCAGAATAGGTTTCAGCCTTGCGTTCTACATTGCTCTTCTGCGCTTTGCGAAATGAGCCTTTTTAAGACGGCTGCCTCCACCTTTACTTGGATTCTCCTGCCCACAATTCCACTTGGGAAGAACAAGTCTTCAAGTATGACATCATGCACAGATGTCAGAGTGCGGCTCCTGGGATACTTTTGCTTATTTTTTTGTACTGCTTTTTTGAGTTGGTTTAGGCAGAATTCTCCTCTGAGTAATAAAGACCAAGTGCTTTCCACTGAAAATTTTCTCCAGTTCTCGTACTGGTCGAACTTGGATTTTCTGGAAAAACTTCAGCTGAGTAACAGGAACAAGGATTACAATAGCTTTCCGACCATCACCAACTTCAATTTCCTTGGCTATAGTTCTGTTCAGCTCTCTTAACTGAGCCTTTAGATCTGAGTTCATCTCCAGCTCAAGAAATACCACACTTGAATTCATCCGGCTTTTCTCTATTGGGCTTTGAGGAACTCCATTACCTTTTAATTCCATCGTTTTACAGACTTTCTGAAGCATCTGATATATGCACGGATTGTCTCTTCTCCCTTTTCTGTCTCTACATTTTGGTTGTGTCTTTTTTTCTTGACTGATATTAAAATCAGAAAGAATACTCACAGCAAGAAGCCACACATATTTTCTCTAGAGCCTCTTTAACTCCCACTCTAATGCTCAGTACATTACTGTAATTTACAATGACATTTCCCATCCGAATCTATAAGCTTGAAAGATGTTGCATTTTTGTTCTTTTTCTTCTCTTCAATCAATATATGCATACTGGTTTCTGCTGTGGGGGTGTTTTCTCTTTAGTCTTCTAGGGTGGAGTTACTGGAAGTAGAAAAATGTGTTGATAAGTGCCATTGAGTTTCCAACCCATAGCGACCGTATAGGGTTTCCTAGGAGCTGTTGGTGAGCTTGAACAACTGACCTTGCAGTTCAAACCAACTTTGCAGTCAAGCACATTAACCCACAGCTCCACACCAGGACTTCTTTGTTGTTGTTGTTGTGAAGTGCCATTGAGTCGTCCTTGACCCATAGTGACTCTCTATAAGGTTTCCAAGGAGTAGATGGTGAACTTGAACCATCAAACTTGCAGTTCAAACAGCTATAGGAGAGTATGAATTGGGAAGCTCAGGAAGACACCCGTTTGAACAGAGTCCGGGTTGAAAGTGGTAGGAAAGAGATGAGGATGTTCAGATACCCTTCGTGGGAGACCATAAGAAGTTCATGCAGCTCCACAGAAATGGCCCATGGGCAAAATTTGACTTTAACCCATTAAACCCCAAGTAGTTCTGGAGCACATTAAAAATTGAGAATCACAGCTACGAACGCCCTAAAATGAGGGTCAGAGAGGCAAAGGGGCACTGTCTCTAGTGAGCCCCCCTCCTGATTCTATGAGTTCCAATATTCAGGGGAAGCGTTTCTGTTTTTACTATAGGACTTTCTATACCATAGAGTATATCCGTGGCGCTGCAGGTTAATACACTGGACGGAGGTCAGTTTGAACCTCAAGGCCAGTATTTCAAGATCACCACCTACTCCTCAGAAACCCTATACAGGTTTGAGTCAGAACTGACTTGAAGGCAGTTAACAACAACAACAATACCATAGAAAAAAAGCTTTTCTTTTTTAATAATTCTAAACACTAGGATTGAAAACCATCAAACATGACAAAGTTTTTCTAACCTACTTAGTTGTCAATGGAGTCCTGATGTGGTGTTGTGGGTTAATGTGCTGGATTGCAAGGTTGCTTTGAACCACAAGGTCAGCAGTTCAAGCTCACCAACTGCTCCTCAGAAACCCTATACAGAGTTGCTATGAGTCAGTACTGACTCTATGGCACTTAACATCATCATCATCACAGTTGTCAATGGACTTTTCCTGAGGACTCATGGCCAGATAAGGAATTGGGGCTCATGACAAATGCCAAATTTGTAGTAATCAGTGTGAAATTTTGGGAGGCCCAGTATGACAAAGTCAGATAATCACTGGATTAATAGCCAGACTGCAAAGCCATTTGAACTGCAAGGTCAGTGGTTCAAGCTCACCAGTCGCTCTTCGGAAACCCTGTATAGGGTCGCTATCGGTTGGATCCGACTCAACGACACTTCACAACAACAACAACAACAACTAACCACAAGGCCAGCAGTTCAAACCCACAAGCCACTCCTTAGAAGCCCTGTACAAGGTTGCTATGAGTCCAGCCTACCTGATGGTTCTTAACAGCAACAGTAATGCGGTTCTTTAAGTCTTGGGTTCATCTTAAATAACCCATTGTCTGTGGTCTGAACTTTGATGGGATCTTGGAGGGATGAGGCCTAGGTCATAGTAGTGTATATTGCATGTTCATTGCATTTGCCAAGTAAAATGTCATCTGTGAGATCAGTAGAGGTTATCTCATATCTGGTGGGGCTCTTCCTGGTTCGCCCATGCTTCGGAGTTAGATCCTTCGTTTCATCTCTCTTGAGTTTGTCATCTATAAAACTGGGGAAAGTAACACCTATTTCTAAGGACTCCTGGTGGCACAATGATTAAGCATTCCACTGCTAACTAAAAGGTGAATGGTTGAAACCCACCAGTAACTCCACAGGAAAAAAACCTGGACCTCTGTTCCTGTAAAGATTGTTGTTATAAAGTGCCATTGAGTCAGTTCCGAGCCAAGAGACCCTATATAGGGTTTCCAAGGAGTGACTGGTGAGCTTAAACCACTGACCTTGTGGTTCAAAGTGACATTGTAGTCCAGCGCATGAACCCACAGTGCCACACCAGGACTCCCCTTTAAAGATTACAGCCTACAAAATTATGAGACAGTTCCACTATGTCGTTTAGGGTTACTGTGAGTCCAAATTGATTCAACAGTGCACAACAACACCTATTTCTAGAGTTGTGAAGTTTTGTGAGTGCATGAGAACACTTTGCATTGCACCAGGCACAGAAAATGGATTGTAGTGGTTACAAATCGGGCTGTGAACCACAAGATCAGCAGGTCAAAACTACCAGCTGTTCCATGGGAGAAAGTTGAGGCTTTCTGCTCCTGTAAAGATTTACAGCCTCAGAAACCCTATACAGGGTCGCTATGAGTCAGCCCCTACTCCACTGCACATAACAACAACAACAATGATGGAAGGAACATTACAGAAGGCTAAGGTACAGGTGTTCCAAAATATGAATTGAAACAATTCAGCTGAAATTGAACTCTTTTTGGAAAAGTTTGTTTTTTCCAGTATACAGTTACATTTTCCTGTGCCCTGACATTAAGTAAAAGAAATCCAGGATGCTTCTGGGTGCATGTAATAGTTGGGGTGATTGGAAAGGGGCAGAATTGTGATGGATGGCCTAGATTGGAATGCAGCGAGAACAGGTCAAGAGGAGTTCCTGGAAGTCAAGGTCTCTAACTGGGAACCACCCAGTTGTATCCCTGCTTTCTTCTCAAGTCAGTAATTTTCTCTAATTGCAGAAAGTAATACTCTTGGCATGATGAGAAACCAAATGACTATTGCTTAAACTATATTACTTAAACACACCATTGTTTACTACACTCATGAGCAGCTGGTCAGAGGCTTAGCAGTCAATGTTTGCAGACATTTGAGAGTAGCTATTTATAGGCAGAAAAAGCTTTGAACTTCAAGAACCATGTATAAGGAGCATGTTCATGTTTGCTTTTATTTTTACTTTATTTTCTAAATAAAGTGACTTAGAGATATGAAGACAAAATCTCCAGATGGGTGACTCCCAAACTGATAAACTCTTGTTTGCATTTTGGCTCCACTTACTCTTGGTTGGCCTTAGGGAAATTAGGTGATGTTTCAGTTTTCCTGGTGGTGCAAGCTCTTTGCAACTGACCATGAGTTGAGGCCATCTGTTGACACCATGGAAGAAAGCCCTGGTATTCTGCTCCAGGAAAGATCACATCTAGGAAAACCCAGTGGGGCAGTTTTCTCTTATCCCAGGAAGTCACCATAAATCAGAAAGAACCCTATAGCAACAGCTTTGGTTGGGTTTCTTTTATGTGCCTGTGATTTTGTTGCTGTTACTGTTTTCAATTTCGTTTTGTCATTTGTAAAATATGCCTAATCACTTAAAATAGTCTTCAGAATAAATTACAGATTTATGAACAGTCACAGTGCCCGGCATACAGTACAATGCCTGACATATAGTAGGTGCTCAATAAGTTGTGTCATTATTATATTGTTTTATTATATATATAGCTTTAGTAATCATGCTATTTAATATTTTAACAGTAAATGTTGTGTAAGGCTGCCAATGCTGTGTAAGACTGCCAAGTTGGAAAATGTTTGCGCGTGGATGGGTTTTAGGTTCTTGGCCTTGGTCTTAGGCTATGAAATCTCGACTGAGGACTGCATGGTCAACCCCAACAAGGGGAGATTCCAGTCAGTCTGAGTGGCTGGGGACTGATGACATTCTTTCTCCCCAACTTGTCTTGCAGGATGTGGACAAGTGGTCCTTTGATGTGTTTTCCCTCAATGAGGCCAGTGGAGATCATGCCTTGAAATTCATTTTCTATGAATTACTCACACGCTACGATCTGATTAGTCGTTTTAAGGTGAGTGATGAGCACACAGGCCTCATTTCTTCTCCCCAACCACAGTTTACGACCACGTTAATAATAATAATAATAATAATAACATTTGTCCATCCTTATATGACTCTTGGGTCAAGACCAAGAGATGCCTCTTACTATCTGCAGAGCACAGTGCTGGGTGACTTCAGGCTTATCCTTGGGATAGCCACTGTGGGGAACTCCTGGGTGATGGGCACTCTTTGTTTCCCACTTGGCTGGAGGATCTCATTGGCAGGGGAGAGGCCCAAGATGCCCATTTAGAGCTCCGACTTCCTCAGAGTACAACCCAGAGCTGAAATAGCCGAGCTCGCCCTCAGGCTCTGCCTGTAGATTTCATTTCAGTGTGATGTTGTGTCCTATCGACCACTGCCATCAGAGAGACAGTAATAAAGACAAAGTGTACATCTGCTGTCTACAAACTTCTTTTCCAGCCACTTGCCTCATTCAGACAGATAAGCTCACTTATCATCTGTGACATTTCATTGGTATTTCCCAGCCACTTGTACCTCAAATTAATTCTTCAACTTTAAAAAGAGTGTGTGTTTCTTTTCCAATGATTCAGTCCCCTCAGCCTTTAAATATTTCAGAATCTTGAGGTCAGACCAGGTTCTCAAGGGAACTTGTATTCATCTGCCAACATCTGTCAACATCTTATCAATGACATGCTTCTCTCAGCAGATGGATGAGCCTGCCCAATATATTGATTTCTCTGGACATCGTCCTTCTTTATCACTTTCCTAAGGACTGAGTGCTTGGGAACATACTTTTGATGTGACTATATTAATACTCTGGACTTCAAAGTCAGTTTGAACCACAAGGTCCACAGTTTAAGCTCATCAGGCGCTCCTCAGAAACACTATACAAGGTTGCTATGGGTCAGAACTGACTCCATGGCACTTCATAACAATAGCAACATAGATACTTTGTAAGAAGCTCAGTAGCATAGTGTTAAGATTCGGACTGCTAATCTCACAATCAACAGGATGAAAACACCCGCAGTTTCATGGAATAAAGATGAGGCTTTCCTGCTCTGGTAAATATTTACAGCCTCAGAAACCCTATATGGGGTGGCTATGAGTAAGAACGGACTCCGCAACACACCACCACCACCACCACCACCATACATGCTATGGAGTCTTGGTGTGGCACTATGGGATAAAGCACGGGACTGAAAGGTTGGTTTGAAGCACAAGGTCGCCAGTTCAAACTAACCACCCGCTCATTGGAAACCCTATACGGGGTCACTATGAGTTGGAACCAACTCAATGGCACTTAATAACGAACATACTATACATTCGTTGGAGTCCTGATGTGGCACCATAGAATAAGCACTCTACCACTAGGTCCGTTTGAGCCACAAGGTTCAAGCTTACCAGCCGCTCATCAGAAACCCTATACAGGGTCACTATGAGTCAGAACAGACTCGACGGCACTTCACAACAACAAACGTACATTATAGCCAAGCAAGCAACCAACCAATTGCTGTTGGGTCATTACTGACTCAATGTGACTTCATGTGTGTCAGAGTAGAACTGTGTGCCATCCAATTGTTAATGGCTGATTTCGCAGGACAGATCGCCAGGTTGTTCTTTCAAGATGAACTCAAATCTCTAGCCTTTCTGTTAGCAGTCAAGCCTGTGAATTATTTCTACCACTCAGGGTCTCACTTTATGTTAGTGGTCCGTACTTTGTTTTGCATTAATAATTTGCTTGAGAATCCATGAATGAGTTGAGCGTCTCTCTTAAAACAAAGCTCCTATAAACATGCACCATGTACCCATTTTTACCCGATATCTCAGTAATTTCATAGAACCCCGAAGAACAATCCAAGGAATCCAGGTTCATGAGATTTTTTAAAATGTAGATGAATGTGAAGAACAATTGTAAAATGCCTGTGGAAAATGAAAAATACTGTGATGGATTGTCTCCCGGGACATACACCCTCTCTTCTTCCCCTAGCCTTGTACTTGATAATTTACCCTAAAGCATGGGATTGACCCAGAAAATTAATCAACTGGGTGCTTTTCATGGTCCCCTTATTTTGCACTACATTTTACAATTGTTCTTCACATTCATCTGCATACAAGGAAGGGAGGCATGGATATGTGTATAGCTGTGGCTGAACTATGATTAAACTGTAGGAAGTATTTTTCTGGGTTATTGGTAGTTCCAAACAAAGGCTCGAGTCTTTTATTTCTGGATAAATAAATGAACGCATACTGTGCCGTTTATCTCATTTATTTGTACAAAAGCACAAAGTACTCAGAGACCTTAAGATACAACATGATTGCAGATCAAACACAAACTGCCACCAGTCGTAAAGGAAGTATTGACCTCCTGGGAACTCTGACTTCTCAAAGGGCTGATTGTTTGCATTAGACACGTGAAAAATATAAACACAAACCTGTAATCATATGAGGCTACATTTATGGGAGCAGTAACAGGCTGTGGTCATATGTTTATTACTTGACAATTTATTATTGGTCCCTTGCAATATTTAAGGTCTCATTCCACTGATACTATGTGACTAAAAAATGAATAATTTCACAAATAAGTAACAATTGTTAGTACTGTTTCAATATTCTTGAAATATTCTTGAAACAAGAAAACATTCTTGTTTTCTTCTGTAGCACATCATCTTCCTTGGACCTAGGAGGAAAAGATATTTAAGGATTCGATGAAGGCAGGGGAAAAACAGAAAATTAGCACAGTCACCAATAACCTTTCTTAAGATGCTTCAAAAGTCATTGCTTTATATGTGACTAAAACGAATTGTTTTCTGAGATGAACCTGTGACTTTGCCCCTGGCACTCTGAACTGGGAAACAAAGGACAATTTTCAGGGAAGACTGTTCCTAAACCAGGGACTTCCTAAATTGTTTAGTGAGTTTGACTCTCTATGAAAGTTTGAATTTCCTTATTTTAGATGCTTTACTTCCAAAAGGGGTGCAATGAGGGTGACTTAGACTTTTGCCTCTTTACTTAAAGTAACTAAATCACCAATTAATTATCCTTGATGCTCTCTTTCAGATTCCCATCTCTGCACTTGTCTCGTTTGTAGAAGCCCTGGAAGTGGGATACAGCAAGCATAAAAACCCTTACCACAATCTGATGCATGCTGCCGACGTCACACAGACAGTTCATTACCTCCTGTATAAGACAGGAGTAGTTGTAAGTACAAATGGGAACACTTTGATTACACCGAAGATGTGTTGATGCCTTTTTCAGTAGAGGCTCATCCTCTTCTGCCCCCACTCATCTGTCAGTTTGTTGTACTGTAGTGGCTTGTGACTTGCTGTGAATCCGAAAGCTTTGCCACCGGTATTTTAAACACCAGCAGGGTCACCCATGATGGACAGGTTTCAGATGAGCTTCCAGACAAAGACAGACTAGGAAGAAGAAGTGACAAACTATTGCAGAATTTTTAGTTACTGAAAACCTTATGAATAGCAGAGAAACACTGTCAGATATAGTGCCAGAAAATAAGCCCTTCAGGTTGGAAGGCACTCAAAATGCGACTGGGGAAGAAAGAGCCTCCTCAAAGTAGAGTTGACCATGATGACACGAATGGAGTAAAGCCTGTGGGAGAAAAGTCCGCGAGACCTTCATTCACTGATGGGACACAACTCAAAATGAAGAGAAACAGCTGTAAACATCCATTGAAAATTAGAACATGGAATGTACAAAGTACGAATCTGAGAAAATTGGAAATTGTCAAAAATGAAATGGAACACATAAACATTGATATTTGAGGAATTAGTAAGCTGAAATGGACTGGTATTGGCCATTTTGAATCTGATGACCACATGGTTTACTATGCCGGGAATGACAAATTGAAGAGGAATGGTGTTGCATTCATTGTCAAAAAGAACATATCCAGATCAGTCATGAGGTACAATGCTGTCTGTGATAG